GCAAAAGAGTTTTCTTTTATTTAACAAATCTTACGTGACCAGAAAAAACAAGCGCGCGCGGAAAACTAGTCTTTGCATTTGCTCACGTCAGCAGCGTACACCCATGGGCAAATGGTGGACGCTGAATTGACCAATCAGAGCGTGCGCTTTACTTTGGTTATGTTATAATTAACAAATGGTAAACACCACAGTGTACACTATTGAGTTATGAATGCACGCGGGAGGTTGCTAAGCACGAAAGAAGCGTAAGAGTCGCTTGAGGCGATAGCCGAGAGCGACTCTAGCTTCTTAAGTGCTTAGCAAACCTCCCAAGTGCATCCATAATTTAATAGTGTACGCTGTGGTGTTTACTATTTGTTTTATAACACAACATTGATACATTGTAGCGAAAGAGTTCCCTTTTATTTAACAAATCTTACGTGACCAGAAAAAACAAGCGCGCGGGGAAAAATAGTCTTTGGATTTAATCACGTCAGCAATGTACACCCATGAGCGAACCTGGAATGGGGGACGCTAAATGACCAATCAATGCGCGCGCTTTACTCTGGTTACGTTATAAATGTACATGTCATGGCATGGCTTTTTCGAATTTCAACGTGAAGTGCATAGTGTACTATGTACATGTAAGAAACCACTTTATGAAGATAATTTTTTTTTTTTTAGTGCAAGACGTTTCCAATGTTTTTAGCATTCTCACCAGGTGGTAAATTATTTGCTACACTGACACTGGACAAAAAGGTCTGTGCATCAGTCTGAATACATGATTTTACAGAAGTTAGTCAACAATACTAATTTTTCAATAGCCGAGCGTAAGCACCGTACTAGGGGATATTGGTGGTCGTGGTAGCACAGCTCGCTCCGCGCAAGAATAACCGAGTACGGCTCGAGCAAGCGAGGTTTTGGTCGCTTTTGCGACCAAAACCTCGCTTTTGCGACCAAAACCTTTTGCATTTTTGGTCGCTTTTATGACCGTCCCTGTGGAAACGGTCCGTGCGGCAAAATATGGATCAAGTAAGAACCAATCAGAACGCTTGGATCTACCTGAGGACTACCTTGCCATATAACAGTGGAGAATATTCATCTTTCAATATTGTGACGCAGGCAGACAGTTCTCCTAACACCAATCATGGGTCTGATTTTTGTCTCAGTAGTTTTGAATGTTGTAAGATGTTGAGCGCGTTTGGCCAGCTTTTTCACAACATCTCACAACACGGTCCAACGATGTTGCAAGATGTTGCGTTGAAATGTTGCCTGCGTTTGAGTGGGCCTCAAGGATAAATTTGTACTTAGTGTTACCCAGACCAATTTGCCTACTGTAAGATTTATGATTACAAGAAATTTGGATTTTGTTCATCAAAATCGTTTTGTCTCTTAAAACATATGCCTCTAGGTAAGAGTGTTCATATCTTTGACAGGGAAGAAAACAAGGGTTTTTGATGAGTCACTGCAAGTCTTTACACGGATATGTACATAACAGAGACGGTAATTTTGTCTATCAGTTTGCTTTCGGATTCGGAGTATTGAAGCGCGGAAATTTTAATACTAATTCCATTTAGTGTTTGATAATAGTGGATACTTCGAGCTCTATGCCACAATGCTAGGAATTAAAGGTACATAAATCTTAACAAATGCCGACTGCTCAACAAAAAGTTAAGGATAGTATTTCCCGCAAAATACCGGAGTAAACCTGTGATGGACTACTAAACTACCTCAATTCTTTGCAGTCATTTCTACCTCTGGGTGGAGACTTGCAGTATGAGAGCGAATTATCTTGCCCCAAAACAAAACACAATAACAACACAGCGGTCAGTCAAACGTCAAGCATGCGCAAGTGGGTCACCAGCGTTTTCTCGCGCGTTTTCTCGCGCCCTACGTAGTCTTGCTTGTTTTGACGTTGAATCCTCATTTGCTCCGTGCAATAGTTTCCTTTGTTTTGGTTATGGTTTTACGACATTCACGAGTGCTCTTAATGTTATGTAATGTTTCCTTAGCAACAGTTATCAATCTTAACGCGTACAGATGTGTAAGAACAATAGGCAAGGTGAGATGATAACGCACTCAGGGTCGCGTTTCATTGGGATCAACTGTTTTAACCGTAGGTTGATGCGATTGTAGCTTTCCAAGGGAACGCCGTGCTCGGCTCAGATGCAGTAATTCTTACGAATAGTCATTACCAGACTTTTCTACGTTAAAGAGTTAAGGGAACAAGACATGCTTGTCAGTTGACGCGACTCCTAGAGCAGCTTTTTAGAAATTCCTCTACTTCTACCAGATAAAGTGCGGCGAAAGAGACCGAGTGACTTGCATTTTGTTTTTGATGACAGCAAGTACCACGGCTAGAAAATGCTACTTATTTTCCTGAGATGGCTCTAACCAGCTCCTTTTAACTGTAATTAAGCCTGACAAATTATTACAATTCGCTTATTTTTCTGTGCCGATGACTACACTCATAGCGGTATGTAAGTTTTTACCCTTCTTAATTTTAGATGGAGAATGTTCGTTTTGTTCAACTTGCTCAGCACCAAGGCAAGGCCAAGAAAAGTAACTCTGCAGTTACAATGGTAAATATTCCTAATTCGCTCTTTTAAATACTTTAGCTTTTTTAACCAAATCAACGAAAGATTACACTCCAGTGTTTTTTTTTTTTTTTTCGCACACTTAACCTGATATATATGCTCAAGACTATTTGGCAGTGTCTTGATTGCAACTGCAGTGTACTATATGAACATTTCCCGTGCGCTGTCTTGTTAAACGTGGCTGTGCGGAATCAGTCTTCAATAAACTGACAGTTTTATCGTTCAAAGGATAGTTTCGATTTAAAAATAAAACTGGAGAGATAAGGCATGTGGTGGGTTTTTCAGAGGCCCTTATGTACCCGTAACAGCGGACATCGCCTGACAACCTCCGTATTTTCTGGAATGCTCGTGCTTTTTCGGATTGGTCTTAATTAACCTAGAAGAGTTTTCAGGCAACTTCGTTAAGATGTCTTCGAAATCAAACTGTTTACGGAAACGTTGCAAAATGCGTTTGTAAAATTGTTGCCGTGAGATAAAGTCCCTAGCATAGTGGAAAGCAGCCATCTATATTGAAACGTTTTTTTCAATAATTCGCTTATTAAGTTTTGAAGTCTTGCTCTGTATCTTGGTTGAACGGCAGTTCTGTGAAGTTGGTCACGATAATGATTTCGAGGAAATAAACAATGTCTTAATCTTTATTCTATCGTGCCATCATAGGAAATGGAGGTATCAGAAAACCCTTCGCTTCAATCAGTAGGCCCTGATCCAATGTTGTTCTGCACAGCATCAAAGAAAAACAGATTTTACATATTTTCAACCAGGCAGCCTGATTTGGGATGAGTTTTTTTCCGCCTTCTAGTTGTTTTAGGGGCCTGGTCCCCCAGGGTGTGTAATCGTCTGACTTCTCTCAAAAGAAACAGTCTTTATTGTTTTAACTCATTTGTAATTGTTTATTTGACAAATGCTGCCTTAAAAATACTTCACTTTTCCTAAGCACTACATTAACTTGGATCACTGGTACATGCGTTTTAAAATTTCCAAATTTATTTATATCCCAGCTCAGCTGTATTTTTGTTTTTGTTTTTTTTGTGTTTTGTTTTTTGTTTTTTTTTTTAATGAATTAAGTACAGGTGTTACAATAAATTTTTCCACAAGAGGCTGGCGATGGTGTAAATAAACCGCTGTGCGCTCAGGATAAGGGATCGTACAGGTGAAACCCAAACACAAGAACTTGCTC